CCGAGCCACCACCCGAGCGCCGCGCGTCCATCACTCACCGGAGCACCGTGTTCCGCAGGCCGGAGGCCAGGTGACGGTTGAACAGGAAGTAGTTTAGTGGCCTCTCCAGGGAGGCGGTTGATGCGAAGACGTCCCAGGGGGTGGAGAAAACTAAGGCAGCGCGGAGCGGAGACCCGGAGCCACTGGAGGCCAAATAATTCAGGAGGACCATCCTAGAGGAGGAAGAAGAGTCGTCACTGGGGCCCTCCAACCTCCCCCCGGGCCCCGCGGCTTACACCAACTTCTTCTGCCATATCGTGTCCTACTTGGTACTGCCACCAGGAGGCCACGAGGAGGAGGACACGAGGAGGCTATGAGGAGGACACGAGGAGGCTATGAGGACACGAGGAGGCTATGAGGATCGACCACCACCACCACACCACGTGTCTCAGGACACGAGGAGGCTATGAGGAGACGAGGAGGCTATGAGGAGGACACGAGGAGGCTATGAGGAGGACACGAGGAGGCTATGAGGAGGACACGAGGAGGCTATGAGGACACGTGGAGGAGGCCATGAGGAGGACACAAGCAGGCTATGAGGAGGACACGAGGAGGCTATGAGGAGGGCACGAGGAGGCTATGAGGAGGGCACGAGGAGGCTATGAGGAGGGCACGAGGAGGAGGCCATGAGGAGGACACAAGGAGGCTATGAGGAGGACACGGGAGGAGGCTATGAGGAGGACACGGGAGGAGGCTATGAGGAGGACACGAGGAGGCTATGAGGAGGACACAAGGAGGCTATGAGGAGGACACGAGGAGGCTATGAGGGGGACACAAGGAGGCTATGAGGGGGACACAAGGAGGCTATGAGGGGGACACAAGGAGGCTATGAGGGGGACACAAGGAGGCTATGAGGGGGACACAAGGAGGCTATGAGGAGGACACGGGGAGGCTATGAGGAGGACACAAGGAGGCTATGAGGAGGACACGGGGAGGCTATGAGGGGGACATGGGGAGGCTATGAGGGGTACATGGGGAGGCTATGAGGAGGACACAAGGAGGCTATGAGGAGGACACAAGGAGGCTATGAGGGGGACACGAGGAGGAGGACACGAGGAGGAGGACACGAGGGGGACACGAGGAGGCTATGAGGAGGACACAAGGAGGCTATGAGGGGTACACAAGGAGGCTATGAAGGGGACACGAGGAGGAGGACACGAGGAGGAGGACACGAGGAGGCTATGAGGAGGACACAAGGAGGCTATGAGGAGGACACAAGGAGGCTATGAGGGGGACACGGGGGGGCTATGAAGGGGACACGAGGAGGACGACACGAGGGGGACACGAGGAGGCTATGAGGAGGACACGAGGAGGAGGCTATGAGGAGGAGACACAACACTCACCCGAAGTCCAGCCAACATCGCTTTCTAGTTTTGGGTGGAGTTGGGGGAAGGGGTGGAGCCTCTGTCTGGTTGATGTTTTACTCTTCCTGCCCCAGTGACCACACAGGACGTGAAGGCAAATCACCCGACAGACAGCCTTATAAAACACAATCACTATGACTCCCTTCCTGTCCTGGTGACCAAACAGGAAGTTGGGAGAAATCTCCCCAATAGGGTCACAGGAAGCAGTAAAAACCTGACAGCATGTTTAACATTATTTTGAAAGTTGGGGGTCGGGAGGTCATGTGGGGGTCGGAAGGTCATGTGGTGGTCGGGAGGTCATGTAGGGGTCAGGAGGTCATGTGGGGGTCGGGGGGCCATGTGGGG